TAAAAGTAGAAAGAAAAGCACAACTGTGTTTTTTTTTTTAACCAATATTTTTTTTCTTTTCTTTTTTGCAGTTTTCCTTCCAATGTTCATATTTGAAAACTAATTAACCACTTCGACAATGTTGGTAGGAAATGAACCATCTTTATACTTAAAACACTAAAATCCTACTAAAAACACACAAATCCAAGTAAATGGGACTCTTTGAGTTTTGAGGTGTAATTTTGAAGATTCTCCAAGACTCACAAAAAAGAATGTGATTTAGCAAATTTCTAGGTTTTCTTCACTGTCATCTTTCATTTAGGGAAGATTCAGAAAGTTTATGGCATGTTCCATGGTAACATGTTCACCACTGTATCTTTAATTTTAAAATACGTATAACCAATAAATACCCACTGGGGAAGGAGAATGGAAGTTAAGCACCAGGGATGAGATTCTCTTTGCTTTGGATAATGTGATTAATTCTAGGCAAGTGGAATATCTAAAGTATGCTTGTCTATGTAATTCCTTGTTCATGTATGTCAAAGAGTCAGAATACGTCTATATCAACTGCGGATTAATAGACTGGTTGGTCAATATTTGATTTCATGATTCAGGTGATTGGGTTCGTGAAAGGAGATACTGTTGCTCTCCTTCTTAATCCCTTGCCAAATATCACAATTCATATTCTTCAAAAGTTTAAGGGGCTGTGCAACTGGGATGTGTAATGAGAGAAAGAGAGAAATCAAGAGGAAGGAGAAAAGAGGAAGAAAAAGAGAAGACCATGACACACATTTATAAGTTTCATTTTAATCTTTGCATTTATTCTTAACAAAACTGCCACCTTCAAAGGGAAGGAAGGTTGTGTTGATAGAATTCGTAGTAATGCTTCCATTTCTCTCTGGAAATCTCAGTGAGAAATAGGAAGTAGACCGTGGAGGGAAGCCCGAACGAAAGGGAAGGGCTGGCTTTCACTGGGACGTTCACTTTGCTTCATTACTGATGTTTTCTGTCTTAAAATAGTAACACGGTTGTGGGCTAGAAATACCAAAGAAAGTGCTTTGCAAGGACTGCCTTCCTCCGGCTAACAAAGCCCGTAGCCAGTTGATGCTACATTTTTTAATTCTAGCGTATGTAGGACGTTAAGGCACGCTCTCCCCTTTGTTTCTCCCTTCAGGGGTAGAAGAAAACAGTTTGGACAGTTTTGTTTTTGATACGCTGATTCCTAAGCCAATTACTCAAAGGTACTTTAACTTGTTGATGGAGCATCACAGAATTATACTCTCGGGACCTAGTGGTACTGGAAAGACCTATTTAGCAAACAAACTTGCCGAATATGTAATAACCAAATCCGGAAGGAAGAAGATGGAGGATGCAATTGCCACTTTTAATGTGGACCACAAGTCTAGCAAGGTAAGTCCCAGACTCCCCAGAGAACTGCTGCTGCTGGTCAGTAAGGGTCTGAAGCAACTAGGCTTCAAGAGTATAGAAGACTTCCATATCGTCCATGGAAACATCATCTCTTTGACTTAAATGGGAATCTGGTGAATGACGAAACCCTGTTTCATGAATTTGAACAAGAGTGCGCGCTGACATTTCAGTTATCAGGCACTTCACGAGCATTGGGAATGGATGGAAGAAAATGACAATCTCTTTTGTCTGATCACTCTTAGACATCCATTTAGGAAGGGTGAGAGCAGAAAGAGAGCCATGCAAATGCTTCTAGAAGCAGGAGGCCAGGATAGCTCTTGCTGGAGGAATCAGAGGTTTATACAAAGTCAGACTCGATCTGGGTCAAAATAAAGAAGGAGGAATTAACTCGGGTGTTGCAGCCATGGGGATTTGGGTATAATTAATATATTCTAGGCAGAGATTCTGAGAGCAGCAGTTTGTTTATGTTGTGTTTCTACTGGATTTCTGCTTAGGAACCTTGGGAAATTGAATAATATTCCATTTCACCTCAGCTAAGGTCAAATGTACCATCATAATCATCCTGAACGTTTTTAGCTCTTAAACAAGCATGAGGGGCTATAAAACCAGCCAGTACTTCCGTAGATTCTGAGTGACATAAAGAATCCTAAGAAGGAGATAGTCAGTGCCTCACATATTCCTCACACTGGCCTATTTTTGCCAATAATTATTCATTACATTCCCAGTCAGTGCAACCTAAGGTCCTCTTAGGAAACTACACTTCTTATAAGCAGTACGTCCCATAGTCCAGGCAATACTGGGTCGTGTTATTTGTCCAAAGATAACCTGGTTAGAGGATCCAGACTGGTCCAGCCTTCTGAAAACCTCAGGCCTGCATATTTTTAGAAAAGAAATATATCTCCTAAAAGCAACCCAGAGCCACTGGATTCTTGAAATAAACAAGACATTTAGTTTAGCCAACAAAAAAATTGTTAAAGGAGGAGTTTATTAAGTCCATCCAGTGACGAGTTATCAGACCTGGGGCCAACTGTTGCATTTCCTTGTGCTCTAGTTTTCCCAGCTGTAAAATGGGAAAAATAGTGGGGTCGTGGCAAAGACTAAATCAGTGTGTGTGTGTGTGTGTCTGTGTGTGGCGGGGGGGACAGAGAGAGAGAAGCAGGGAGATGAGAGAACAGTATATTAGTTGCAAGCACAGTGTAAGTGTTGCCTGCAGTTAGCAATTACAGCCCTTGACACCCAATGAGGGTTTCTTACACAAACACACACAGACCCATACGGACCACCTAACCCCATCACACACAGAGACCCTTGTTCAAGTGTCTTACCTGTATGTTTCAAGGAGAACAAAGATGTATATGAAGCCCAATGGGATCTCCTGCTGTTAAATGAATACAACCCATGCATTCTGAACATTTCCCTGGAACTCAGCACTATTCAGATGGTGGTTGAATCCCCCATTCTCATTTCAACTGAGAGAGACATGGCCAGTTCTTGCCAAATTGTCAGAGAATCCATACTTTTTGGAGGGAGGGGTGGGTGTGGTACATGAGAGTGGTGTAGAGCAAGAGGGATGAGAAACTGCATTGTGGGAGGGATAGCAGCTAACCGTAGATGTACTAACGCAACGTGTGAATGAGGAATGAAATAATAAATTCTTTCCCTGAGAACTGGAGCTGGGCGACTGTTGACGTTCTTTATGCTGTGCCTAGATGGCTCTGAAGGAACCGAGCCACATAGCGCTCATCGATTCCAAAAAAATTGAACAATAAACCATCAAAGAGAAAAACATCTTTTCATGTGTCTGGTGCCTTCTGCATTTTACGTTCTGTCCCTCTTCCCACTCTTCAAGCCCTCTCTTGAGCTGCCAGCTGGAATATGTTGATTGAGAGCAAGACACATAAACAGTTACACTTTGTGACATTTGATATAGCGGGCCCAGAAGGCTCGAGATGGATTTAGCAAAGACGATGTGGCCAGCAGAAGCCACTTGGAATGTTAGGTGGGGAAAGATCAGAATACTGGACTTGGCAGATTCATTTTGAGGGTGTCTATAGTCAAAACCAGAGAAAGCAGTGATAAACAGGTTGTATATAACAGCTGTGTTCTGTGTATATTTTCAAAGTGTGGGTTTCATCTCATTATCTGTGACCATCTGGTAGATATACCTGTTTTGTGCTGCCTGAGTAGATCCTGGACATGAAACTTTTAATGCTAATGAATCAATACGTCAATCTAAGATTTTACCCCAGTTAGGCTAGAGTGGGGAGCAGGAAGTGATTTCAAAGGAGTTTGGAAAAAAAAACTCAGGTTATGTGAGTAAATTCTTTGTGTATGCCTGTTTCTACTTGGGACTGGTCCATAGCTATCATTAGATTCCCAAAGGGATCTACTACCCTTCTCAAGCTGAGAGAGAACCATAACAGAATCTAATGGCCCGGTTTTTCCAGAATCATCCAGTGATTTCTTTATTGCCAAATTCAGTGCCCTTTGTGGCCACTGCTTCCCCTCTCCCGCTTCCTTCCTCCCTCTCCCCTTCTTCCTTTTACTTCTCCTCCTCATTTTCCTCTTCTTCCTCCTCCTCCTACTCTTCTTCATCTTCTTCCTTATCATCTTCTTCTCTCTTTCTTCTGATCTAGGCATAGCAAATTACTATAATTGGTCTCCCCTTTCCAGAGATGGTTCTCATTTTCCTGATTACTATTCTGCTTCTTTCCTTCTCACCTTTCCTTCTCAGTCTCTTTCACTGACCACTCTTCCTTCACCTGCCAGTAACTGAAAATATCCCCCAGCATTCTGTTGTCTCTCAATTCTGTTCTCATCTGGATGACTCCCCCTCACCCCCTACCCCATTCCAACTTGTACTGACTCCAGTTGGACACTGTTAGCCATGCCCACTCTCCCATATGGTAGACATTTGTATTAGCTTACAAATACGTTTCCCTTAGCATGCTAAATATACATGTTTAGAAATCCCAATTTCAACTCTGAAAATATTACCATCCATGCATCTTCTTCCATCCGTCTCCACTACCACCACCCTCCTCCCCAAATAAACATCCCACCACTTCAGCTACTGCAGTTGTGTACTAACTGCTCTATTTACAAATTCTGTTCAATTCTCTTCTCTCTCCCTACTTAATCCTTTCACTCCATGGAAACAGGGTGTCTTTTCATAATTAAAATCTCACCACTTTAGTAAAATCCTGCAGTGTTCCCCCTTGCTTTCTGCACTAGGTCAAAAGTCTACCCATGCTTCTGTTACCCCTCTTGAGTCCCACAGTGTCTCTTGGCTTCAGCAACTTTGTTATTCTCTTGACCGGTTTCTCTTCCTCCTCCACAATGTACTTACCATACTTGGAAATCACGATTCTGACTGCATTACTCAGATCTCCCAGCCAGTGTTTCTTCACTGTCAGCAGGAAAAGTCCAGTAATCTTACAATCATTCAAGGCTGCAGACTTTCCTTTCCAACTTGCTTACCACTATTTACATCTACAAAGCGTATATTACTAGTTCTTTCCTGCATGGGTATCATAGTTTTGTGTTTCTGTCTTTGGTTGTTCTTCCTCCATGTGGAAAGCTCTTCTTCTATGTTTAACCATTAAAGTATTACCTAATCTTAAAAATAAAGGGTTCATAGGAAGCAATACTGCCACCAGAAAGTCGTTCCCAGCAGCTACAGGTAATCTCTCCATGCTCTGAACAAAAATCTTTGGTGTGCACTCCTTTGAGGTAATGTGTCACTTTTCACTGTGAACTCTGGTTATCCGTATGCACGCCTCACCTTCTGTTCTGGGCAGTAAGCTTCTAGAATGCCTTTTGCAATTCTAATTAATCATCATATCCGTCACGTTTATGTTTCCTTTGATAAATATTTTTTTTTTTACCTGCTGAAAACCACAACAGCAACATGTCAGTGGTCCACAGTTATTTATATAGTAAAATCCACATTCCTCTGCATGGATTCAGTCTTTTCTGATTTTTCTTTCATTGCAAGCACTGCCACCATGTACCATTTCTTTTGCAAAAGTAGAACACTGTTATTTCTCCAAACACATCAAACACTCGTGTCTTCCAGCTTTTTCTTTTTTCCCTTTATTCTTCAGTCATACCGCCATCCCCATCCTCTGTTGTCCTCTGAGTCTTAAATCTCGGTTAGATGCTGTCTTTAGTTTTTCTGTAGTTTTTGTGCATTTCACTTATCCCACTGCATTGTGATTTACTTGTTGACCTGCCTTTCTGTTTATCAACTCTAAAGCCTGGAATATAGGAGTAATCTCTAAATCCTTGGTGCCAGAGTACCTGGCACCTAGTAGGTGCTTGCTAAAGCTGTGTTGAGAGAAAAAAAAATGGCATGCTTATCACTTGGGATTCTATTCGTTACTCAGGATCCATAATGAAATTGTTTTCTTAACCCTGAGCAAGATTTACAAATTGAAAATGTCATTGTAAATATGCAAATATTATGGAAATGCTCTTACTGATTAGGATAATTCTAAGAAACCTAATTATAGTCCTGGCCTACCCATCTGTGAGAGCAATCAGTGAACTGGTTACCATATTTAGATTAAAAGCTATTAGAAAGGAATAATACCTGTAAAGAACCAAGAAGCTTAATAAATGCTAAGTGCTAATGTCAAGTGACCCTGTGAAATATAAAAAAAATTGTCTTTGTTTAAAATTACAGCAGTTGCATGAGGATAATAAATAAATAACCAACCAACCACAGTTTTACTTAAGTCCCAGGTGTATATTTTCAGATGCACCTCATCAAAATAAATTAAAATATTTGAAGTATTAGTGGTAATTTGGGGGTGCCATTTAGTCTACACTTGAAATTATAAAGTTTTCTAAAATCCATCTTTGTCATTGTAAAGTCACAAACAAAACTGAAGTCTCAACATTTGTGGTTTATCTTAAGAGCTCATATCCAGAAATCTTATTTTTTTGGCTTTTCTTCTGGGAAGAAAACAACTGAGAAATATGTCCTTGTGTTTTCAGTTTTATATTTGCTTCAGGTGTTCTGTACTGGCTTTTCTCCTTTAAAAAATGCATCCTCTCAAATTATACATATATATATATATATATATATCTTTTTTTGCTTTGTAAAATAAGGTTTTGTATCAATGGAATGATTTATGGGTTTTAATCAAAGAACCTGGATAGAACACAAAATGTGCTATTCCTATGAATTGCTCGCCATTGGTACAAATTTATCATTGATATATTTGTTTTCATAATTTTTTTAAAGGAATTGCAACAGTACCTAGCTAACCTGGCCGAACAGTGCAGTGCTGATAATAACGGTGCAGAGCTTCCTGTTGTAATAATTCTTGATAATCTTCATCACGTGGGCTCTCTGAGTGATATCTTCAATGGTTTCCTCAACTGTAAATACAACAAATGGTATGCTTGTAAAATACTCTGAATGATGAAATACGAAGAAGTGGTGAGCTGTATTGCATTCTGGTGCCTTTATAACTTTTAAGACCTATAGCAAATGCCATTAATTTGAGAAACCTTCATTACTATTATACCATATTTCCGAAGAATCTCTGTGTTTTCATTTGAACAGCTATTTATTCATTCAACAACTACATCCCCAGGCCCTTTAATGGAAACATTATTCACTGGATGATGTTAACTACTGCAGATATGCTGACTGTCTGGGAGACTAATTATCAGTAATAGAATGTTTGAATCAGGAAATTAAGAACTAGAAGGGGGCTGCAGAGCTCTGGTTTCATTCTTAGTTCATATTAAAGTTTAAATTCAACCTTCCTATAGAGATAAATTTAATGCATTCAGATATACCGCTCTCCATCAGTGACTCTGATTTTTTAACTCTTTACGTGACAGACAAGGTTAAAGTAGGGTATAAAAAAACCTGAAGACCCACTTAAGATTCACTGTAGTATGGCCTCTAAAAAAGGACATTTCAGAGCAACAATGTAAAGATTAGCTTTTAATGGTGTAAGTATCCCTGTTAATCTCTGGTGAAGATTTTTTAAATGCTAAAAGTTAATCACCATAAAATAAATATTGAATCAAAATATTGAAATAAAAATTCTTTCATGCTATTAAGGACCTTTGAAATAATTATGAAATAATAAAAGAAAAATTAGTGAATTGGATTATAAGCATAGGAATCAGAAGATGTTAGAGTGGAGAGAGACCAGTATCATTATTCTATCTAAACTTTCTATTTTATAGACAAATAAATGTGAATTTAGAGGTGAAAAATGATTAAAATGATTTGCTTAGGATGCCAGAGCTGAAAATGAACCCCAAATCTTAATAAATTTCGGTTCAGTGATCTTTGTCATTTTCCAACCTAACATCACAGAGTTACCCTTTTACAGCCAAATGTTAAAATGGAATAATCCATGTTTATCTAAATTGTTATCTGAGACCATTTTAATATAATAATCTCTTTTACCTTTAGTACATGTTTGCTTTCTATGTCTTTCCAGTCCGTATATCATTGGGACGATGAATCAGGGAGTTTCTTCATCACCAAATCTAGAGCTGCATCACAATTTCAGGTAAAGATCAATTGAATGTGTTTTGCTTTTTTTGGGTATTGTCCCTTTCTGTTTGCTTTTGGCCGGTGTTTTTCCATTTGTACGTTGACAAATCCTGCCAGTGGTGACCTGGGGGTGTGAAAATAATTCTCACTTCCTCTGACAGTCTTTCTCAAGCAGACATTTTGTGATCCTCATCCTGTAATCAGAAGTGTTTCTTTAAAAAAAAAGAAGAGAAAAGAAATGTTTTTCCTGCTCACTATGTCACCGGTTAAAGTGGAGCACTTTTCTTCTACGTGTGAGAAATGTGAAGAGAGTTCCTATTTCAGGACTCGTGATTTTCCTACAGAAGAGGGCTCAGCGTGTACACACCCACTCACTGCTGATGCACACGAGCTTGTCTTTAGCTCAGAAAGAAAAGTTAGTTACATTACAGCTCTAGTGCTAATAGACTTTCTAACCCCTTTGATCATTAAAACCTAGCCAGCAACTGAAATAGGAACGTTACTACTTTGTATTGGAAAGAGAATCACTGTGGATTTAAAGATTTATTTATATAAAGATTTCTGGATTTTTTTTTTCTTTCTGTAGGTGGGTACTATGTGCAAACCACACAGAACCAGTGAAGGGCTTTTTAGGCAGGTATCTACGAAGGAAACTGATAGAGATGGAAATTGAAAGTAACGTACGCAATAATGACCTAGTCAAAATTATAGATTGGATACCCAAGACGTGGCATCATCTCAACAGTTTTTTGGAAACACACAGTTCTTCTGATGTTACCATTGGTGAGTTCCAAAATTGCAATATGCCGTTCTCCAGGAACTAAGAGTACGTGGAAAAGATGGCCAGATTGGATGGCAGAAAATAACATGTGAAGCTAATGTTTCTCAAGTTTCCATTTTTCTCTCTTCTGAAAGTTTGCCTTCTTCTAAGCTTTGTGTCTCTAATTAGATTCATTTTGTCTGACTATTACCATTTACTAAGATTTTACTGACATTAAATAAGTTTAAGAGAGAAAAATATCTAAAAATCAAAAAACCATTTGAAATAAATTGTGTCTGTTTAGAGTAACCTTTTAATGCTAAAAGCAAATTTTAGCTGATGACTCATATCAAATATAGTTGTGAGAGAGGATTTTAGTTAGAGATAGTGTGTTTTGTGTTTTGCATAAAGACAGATTGTTTGAGTTATTTGTCTTGAGTTGGCATATAGTTGTTTATTTTTGTTTTCCTTCTTAAATTGCACACACAAAAGAAGTCCCCTTCCCACTGCTTTGGATCATAAAGATGTCATACTCACTAAAAACACAGTGTAAAGTACAAAGAAAAATTCTATATTTGGGATCAGAAGACCAAGGTGGAGGCTGACTCCTAAAAATAATGACATATTTTATGTTTGGCAGTTTGTTTCAGCTTAGTTTTGTCATTTGTAAAATGAGGCGGATTGACTGGATTATGACCTTTAAAGTTTCTTCTAATGCTGCAATGTTTTGTTTTAGATTAAGATTTTAGTGCATAAAGAAAGGAGAGTCCTGCAGACTGGGTCTTCAGTAAAACCCACTTTTATAATAATCAAGCTGGCCAGGACTACAATTTTCTAAGAATCCTGCAAGAAATAAATTAATTCCCCCAAAATGGTGTCTAAATGTAACAGACTGTTAAACATAACAGCTCTCAAAAATGTTTTGTCATCTGTGTCGTCTCAGGTCCTCGACTTTTCCTTCCGTGCCCCATGGATGTGGAAGGTTCTAGAGTATGGTTCATGGATCTCTGGAACTATTCTTTGGTACCTTATATTCTGGAGGCAGTGAGAGAAGGTCTTCAGGTATTGTACTCAATTTTCTTTACTGTTTAAGAAACGAAGTGGAAAAAAAGTTAGCCTTATTTTAAATGCAAAAAAAAAAACCATTCATTTCTCTGGGTATTTCTGTAGAAAACTAAAGGCATAAACTATATAATTATAGTGGTAAAAATTGAAAGAGCAAATAGTATGCAAATTTTTTTTTCTGTTCTGAGAATAAATATGTAGGAGAAAGAGAAAGCCAGTTTTTGGAAGAACTACACATTGAAAGCCAAATTTATTGCCGTAAATATTTACAGACTGTTCTTATTAGATAGCCAGTTAATTGCCCAGAGGCATGTTTAGATGGGCCTTGATCATTAATTCTCTTATCATATAATCTGCAGCAAGTAATTTTCGCTTATGGATTCCCTGCTTTACTCTATTTCATTGTGTGAAGCCCTTTAATGTCACTTGCAAGATCCATTATTATTTTTGAGAGTACTTGAAAATCTAAGGCATTTGACTTAAAAAAAAAATCTCAAACAGGTGAGTTTAGCAGCATCCCTGCTGTTTCTCTCATTTACCGTAAATCATGAGGCCCTGCAGCCATCCCTTCTCTTTACTCTTAACTAAGAAGTCAAAATATATCACTAATAAAACTCTTTTCTTCGATAAAATATTCTATCCCTTTTCCATCAGTCTTGATTTTTTCACTTATATTGAAGTTGAAATTTCATGAAATTGTAGAACTGTGACCCTTAAGTTTGACTTTCCGATTTGCGTTGCATAATCACCC